GACTCTCAAGATGAGGGAGTCAGACCTAAACTGCACGGGTTTTGCCACTGCGTGGCTTTGAGTAAGTCGCTTTATCTGCTTGTCTTCATTTTATTTAAAATTTTGAGATTTTATTTATTTTTTACTTTATGTATTGGGGTATTGGGATGTTTTCCCTGCATGTATGTCTGTGGACCACATACATGCAGTGCCTACGGATGCCAGAAGAGGGTGTTGGAGCCTCTGGAACCAGAGTTACCTGTGAACCAATGTGTGGATGCTGGGAATAGAACCCACTTGTTCTTTTTTGCTTTGTTTGGGTTTTGTTTGTTTATTTTTTTGTTTTTCAAGACAGGGTTTCTCTGTAGATTTGGAGCCTGTCCTGGAGCTTGATCTGTAGACCAGGTTGGCCTCGAACTCACAGAGAGCCACCTGCTTCTGTCTCCCGCTGCAGCCAGTGCTCTTACCTGCTGAGCCATCTCGCCAGCCCCCTCCCCCACATACACACACACATTTTATTTTGTAAATCAGCTATCTGGGTAGGATACTATAATAGTATGTGACTGAATGTGTCAAATGCTTGTCAAAAACCAGGTGTTAGTACTAATAAAGCAAACTGAGAGAAGCAGTGAGGAGGGAAGGATGACTTGGGGTATTCCCTAACTGAAGGGGTGGAGCGCTGGAGCAGCAATACCAGAGGGAATAAATCTTGGAGCAACTATGTAGATGGGAACCCTGTAGTCTGACTGGTGGAGACTTCCTTGGAAAGTGGGATCCTGAACCCCATTTCTACTTAAGGTCTCCTTGGTCCCAGATGCCAGAGCCCAGAACACCATCAGGACCTTGTAAGTCCTGCCTGTGTCCACCCACACAGACAAGGCTCCTGCTACATCTGCAGATACTTTGTACCTCTGGGCTTCAGGTCCTACCTAAGTGATGGGGGAAAGAGACCATCGAAGTCATAGGGCTTTCATGGCAGTTGATGGCACAGCGATCCAAGTGTAAAGGGAAGCAAACACTTGGGGACTTGGAGAGAGGAAGCATGGGGGATGGTGACCACATTTCTTTCTTTCTTTCTTTCTTTTTTTTGGGGGGGGTCTTGGAAACAGGGTTTCTCTGTGGCTTTGGAGGCTGTCCTGGAACTAGCTCTTGTAGACCAGGCTGGTCTCGAACTCACAGAGATCCGCCTGCCTCTGCCTCCCCAGTGCTGGGATTAAAGGTATGTGCCACCACCGCCCAGCTCTGGTGACCACATTTCTAAGTTGACTTTGAGTCTCTAAGCTGTTCCTCCCTTTTCAGCTGCTGCTGGAACCTTAGATGTGAGCCAAGGGGCCGGAGTAGCAAAAGATCATTAGGGACACTGGCCTATCTCGGGGATATGAAATGACATGGAGACATGGAATGAAGGTGTGCCCCAATCCTGAATCTGTACCAGAAAGGCCTCCAGCTAATACTTGGTTGCAAGGAATTAGACATATGCTATTGCTCTCCTGTTTCTGTTTGTCCATCTTGAGGCAGAAGGTGAGCAACCTTACTGAGCCCCTACTGGGAGCCTCATCATAGACTGTCACCAGCTCTGAAAAGACAAGTAACTTGTCTTGGGTCATGCAGCTGGTACATTTCCAAGGTGGTGGCCTGAACTCTTCTGCCAGGACCATTCCCTTTACCCTGCCTGAGCCTTAGCCACCCACATCCTCAGAAATTCCTTTCGAGTCTCTCCATCCATAAAGACTGAGCTCCCCAATCACAGATCTAGGTATTAGGCTGTTTGGAGACAGCTTACCACCCACAGCTCCTTCACTTCCTCTGTGCTTCCTACTGTTTGGCCTTGCCAGGGTCCAGCTGTGGACCTCTTCACTCGTCCACTTTCCACCATCACCAGGAGAGGTCCACAGCACATAACTGAAAAACACTCTTTCTGGTAACCTACGTGGCAATACTCACCTTTTTTGTAATTCCTTGCATGCATCCAGCCATTTCTCTATAACCCTGCAGGCCAATCATGGAAGTAGGGGAGGTAATAAAAACACAGGCCAAGTGCTAAGTGCTTTATATTTTATAGCTCATCCAATCCTCCCAATGATATGAAGCAGGCGCTATTATTAGCATTCCCGTTTATGGATAAAGAAAATAGGCTGAACCCTTCAAGAAACCCCAAAGTGTACTGCTCATTAGGTTGGACAGCCATGTCCAGAGTCCCAACAAACTAAGGAAAGACATGCCCACTTTCCACTCCAACCATCAGTTAAGAGGTCTTGGCTCCTTCTACTTGGGGTCCAGCACTGCTCTTAACTAATCTCAAAGAAGCCCAGATTCTCCTCGCCCCGGAGGTCAACAACATGAGAGTAGCAACAAAAACAATAAAACCAACATACTTTCTCAGTGTATGTGCTATACATACACACAGATTTATTCATTTAGTCCAGTGGTTCTCAAGCTGTAAGTCCCAACCCCACACCAGTTATGTATCAGATGTTCATACATTACAATTTACAACTGTAGCAAAATTACAGTTATGAAGTAGCCCATTACATTACATTACAATTTACATTACAATCATACATTACAATTTACAACTGTAGCAAAATTACAGTTATGAAGTAGCCAAAATAATTTTATGGTTGGGGGGTCACCCCACATGAGGAACTGTATTAAATGGTCACAGCACTTTGGTGGCTCTCTAATCACTGTTTTACTGAGAGGAAAGGAAGGCCAGCCATGAGGTTGGCTTTCTATGGCAGGGGTGGGAAGGACTGCAGCTAGAATAATCTTACCTGTGACTTTTTGTCATCTGTCTTTCTCCTCCAAGAGCTCCCAGGCCTGGCTGCTTGCCACTAGGCAAGAAACCTCAACCTTTGCCTTGCTGCGTCCCTCACATGGGCTGGCCCTTCCTCACTCCATCCTACCAGAGCCCTGCTGGGAGGTTTTCTGGTCCCCTCTCTTCTGAATAGTGAGTTGGGGGCTTAAGCAAGGGCCAGGGGTGATTAGAAACTTCACCTGCAGCTCCCTGGGCCCAGGACCTCCCCTCTTCTGCCCAGTCCCTACTTCAGCTACCACCGTCTCCAGCCACAGGCTCCCAATGCAGACAGGGCTGGTGCTGGTCCTCCCGTGGCCTTGCTTGACCTCTCCATGTCTCCAGGGCTCATCATCATTTGCTCCTGAAGTCTGGGTTGGATGGAGCTCCAGACCAATGGCAGCATTTGCTCAGAGCGCAGGACTGCAGCAGGAAGCACCAACACCAAGGTTCCCACAACGTCACCTCTGACCTGCCAACTCCTTACCCCAGCCCAGATGAGGCCTTAACCCCTCTCCACTCCAGGAACTGGGGTGGGGCAGGCCCTGGTTTATTCACCCTGTCCGCTTTCCCAACATCCTTTTCTCATTCCCTTAGCAACCAAACTAGATCCATCAAGGAGCAGGGCCTGGCAGCTGAGCTGGGAGAGACTAATAGCCCGGAAGGAAGGAGGGGCCTGGAGAGAAATGGAAGGCTAGGGATGTAAGCCAGCTCAGGCTGGGCGTTGGCTCTGGCCCATCTCAGAGGACACACAGAAGGTGGGTGAGCTCTCTCTGCCCTGCAGTATGAGGGGGCTGACCAGCAGGGAGCCGCCCTCCTTATCCCAGTCAGGTACCCAGCCTAGAGCCATAAACCTGCTTCTCTCAGGACCCATCTGAGATAGACCCATCCTGCTCCAGAGTCCCCAGTGACAGCAGCCACACGGCTCCCACTCCCAACAAACCTAAAGGCCTCAGCATCCTTTCTCCTATAGAGCATCCAAACTGCCCCTGTCCACTCCTGGACAGCCTGTGTCTGCATTTTGCAAGCCGTGTGACACACAAAGGCCAGATACCAGCCTTCCTGCTAAGTGGTGTGTGTGGGGTGTGTGTGTGGGGTTGTGTATTTGTGTAATGTCTGTGCACACAGGCATCTGGGGCAGGCTCCACACACATACATGCTTGTAGGATCTACGAGATGGCTCAGTGGTAAAAGGGGTCTGTGTTGTGGACCAGTCTGAGGACTTCTCTATCTGCTTTCATGCCCATTCATCGCCCTTTATCCGCACCATTTCTGGGTACCTGCACCTCCTCAGCACTGGAGAGAGGTGCCGGACAGTCTGTCTTTCAGCCCTGGCAGCTGCTACCCCTCAGCCCCCTCCCCTTCCTACTTCAGGGATTCCTCTAGTTCCCGTAAAGCCTGTGACTGAGCATCAGTTAGTATGGAGGGGGAGAGAATCCAGTAACTGGCGGATGGCACATTTGCGGATGGCACACCCCAGGCCACTCAGTTTAGCCTCTGTCATGGCAGACACCTGGGAGTCTGACACCCCCAGCCCCCTGTGAGGTGCCACCTTGTTGAGACAGGTGTTAAACCCAAGTTTGGGTGCTGTGTCTTTAAGGTAGAAGCATCAGCAGGCAACTTCTGCTGGACAAGGGCGGGGGAGGGGAGCTGGTCAGTCCATTAGCTGCAGAGCTGGCGCCAACCACCAACCCTTTACCGTGCCCTGGGGAGCAGGCAGAGATAAGACCTTCCCCAGCCCCTCCTCCTCAGCCCTTCTGTCCCGTTTCTCTTCGTTGTGGTGGTGGTGGTGGGGTGCAGCTGACAACAGGTGAAAACAGAACCCCAGTTTCAGGAGACAGGAGGAGGCACAAACTCCCCGGTTTAGGCCAGGTTAGCTGTCCCTCCGAGACCTACCTCCCTTTTCATAGCCAAAAGCTTGCCCTTTAACCTCGGTTCCCTCCTATTCCCTAATTCTTACCTCCTCTTCTGAGGGGGCACTCCGGTCAAGTCATGCCCTCCAACCCTAGGTTCCAGCCTTGGAGTCATGCCCAAAGTCTTGGACCCTTACCACCCCCCCACCCTGCTGTCACACCCCTGATCTCTGCCAGCAGCAAGGGGGAATCAAGTAGGCAGGGTGCCAGCAACCAGGAGAGGGAAGGGGTGATGTCGCCGCTCTGCAGGGTGGGGCATCCCCCTCCCCACACAGCCCGTCTATAGTCAGGCCAGTGGGAGGAGCTGTCGTGCCCCCCCCACCCCCAGACCGCAGGGCTATAAAGCTGCCCCGCATCGGTCTGCGGCTCCTTCCCGCCCGGGCCAGCTCTGCCAAGCGCTGAATGCCATCTTCCGCCACCATGAGCCATCACTCGTCGGGCCTCCGGTCCAACATCAGCTCTACCTCGTACCGCAGGACCTTCGGGCCACCGCCCTCACTGTCCCCCGGAGCTTACTCCTATTCATCCAGCACTCGCTTTTCCAGCAGCCGCCTGCTGGGTTCGGCGTCCCCGAGCTCCTCGGCAAGGCTGGGCAGCTTCCGTGCCCCTCGGGCGGGGGCTCTGCGCTTGCCCTCGGAGCGCCTCGACTTCTCCATGGCCGAGGCCCTCAACCAGGAGTTCCTGGCAACACGGAGCAACGAGAAGCAAGAACTCCAGGAGCTCAACGATCGCTTCGCCAACTTCATCGAGAAGGTGCGCTTCCTGGAGCAGCAGAACGCAGCCCTGCGCGGGGAGCTGAGCCAGGCCCGGGGCCAGGAACCGGCACGCGCCGACCAGCTGTGCCAGCAGGAGCTGCGGGATCTGCGGCGCGAACTGGAGCTGCTGGGCCGGGAGCGCGACCGGGTGCAGGTGGAGCGCGACGCGCTGGCGGAGGACCTGGCGGCGCTCAAGCAGAGGTCAGAGGGCAGGACAGGGCCTGCCAGTCACTCCCTCCGCTTCTCTCTTTCTTTCCCTGGGATCCAACAGTCCTAGGGCGTGGCCCGGCTGGCCAACCCCAGAGGTGCCTGCAGCATCCTGACCGGCCCCCTCCCAGCACTGTGCTCCCAGCGCCTAGGCTAAGTTGCCTATATAGGGGACTTTTCCCCCCTCCTTTTCCCAGCCCGCTAGACGGGCAGGTTGAGTCCCTCGCTTTAGAACCAGGACAGCTGCAAGAGCAGATGGGGGCGGGGTGCTGGACGTGGCTCGAGGGCTGGGAGGTGACCCGGCAGCTCACTGTCTTCCCCACTCTGCCCGCCCGTCAGGTTGGAAGAAGAATCCCGCAAGCGGGAGGATGCGGAGCACAACCTGGTGCTCTTCCGTAAGGTGAGTGGAGGCCACGTGAGTCCCACCACCCCGTCTGCACCCCCAGCAGCGTCTCCAGGGGGGCATCTGTGGGTTAAGGGAGGCAGCTTCATGCCTCCGAGGCAGAAGGGGAGGCCTGGCCCTTCCTTTGCCTGAAGAGCCCTCCTTTCTCTTGAAACCCCATCCCCATCCACAAAGGACGTGGACGACGCCACCCTGTCCCGCCTAGAACTAGAGCGCAAGATCGAGTCTCTGATGGATGAAATTGAGTTCCTTAAGAAGCTGCACGAAGAGGTGGGTGGTCGGGGTGTCTGGGAAAGCTTGGGAGAGGCCTCGCTGAAGCTGCCAGACGGGGATGCAATGTGATGACAACCCCACCCTTTAACCCGGCCACAGGTGGTTTGACTCCCACCCATGCGCCACCTGTTGGCGGTCTGGGTAGCTACACCCTGAACCTGACAACCGGCTTAAGGGCATCCTGGGCTGAGGTCTCAGAATCCAGTGCGCGCTGCACTCCCTAGCGCCCCCTTCTGTTCATTCAAGTGCCTCACACACTTTAAAGTTTTTATTTATTTATGTATTTATTTTGAGACAGGGTCTCAAAGCCCGGACTGGTCTTGAACTAGTGAGTTCTCTGTCCCAGACTTTCAAAAGCTGGGATTACATATGTGCACCTCCATGCCGGGCTAGACATTCTTCTCTTCTGTTCACTCTTCTATTCACAACCTCCACCGGTGTTTCCTGGCTTGTAGGAACTTCGGGACTTGCAGGTGAGCATGGAGAGTCAGCAGGTGCAGCAGGTGGAGGTGGAGGCGACTGTGAAGCCAGAGCTGACCGCGGCGCTGAGGGACATCCGTATGCAGTATGAGAACATCGCGGCTAAGAATCTGCAGGAGGCAGAGGAGTGGTATAAGTCCAAAGTGCGAGAACAGGGGAGGACTCTGGGGGGGTGGGTCCTGGGGTGGGAGGCACTGGGAGTGGCACTCATCCCACCAGACCTGTCTGCCACTCCACAGTACGCTGACCTGTCCGACGCCGCCAACCGCAACCACGAGGCCCTACGCCAGGCCAAGCAGGAGATGAACGAGTCCCGACGTCAGATCCAGAGTCTGACTTGCGAGGTGGACGGGCTGCGCGGCACGGTGAGCACTCCGCTGCTGCCTGGGCCGGTGGGCGGCTGCTAAAGGGCTCTCCGACTGCCCCCCATTCTTCTTCCCCCTATCCCAGAACGAGGCGCTGCTCAGACAGCTGCGGGAGCTGGAGGAGCAGTTCGCCCTGGAGGCTGGAGGCTACCAAGCGGGCGCTGCGCGGCTGGAGGAAGAGCTTCGACAGCTGAAGGAAGAGATGGCGCGGCACCTGCGAGAGTATCAGGAGCTCCTCAATGTCAAGATGGCCCTGGATATCGAGATCGCCACCTACAGGAAGCTGCTGGAAGGGGAGGAGAGCCGGTGAGTGGTGAGGCTACTGGGACCGTAGGGCTTTGGGCCTAGTGAAGGGAATAACCAGGCTGCACGCTTTGTCCACAGGATCTCGGTGCCGGTTCATTCCTTTGCCTCCTTAAGTTTAAAGACGACTGGTGAGTCCTCCACGTCTGGCCTCCAGCCTGCATCTCCCTTATACCTTCTGCCCTGATTGCTCTGGCCGTGCTCATCCTGGATTGACTCCTATTCCAACTATAGGGAGGTTTCTGGCCTTAAGAGGTAGGAGTGGGAGCCTGAAAGGAGACAATCCCAAACCTTTCCGTGTCCTTCTCCCGCTTTCTCCAGTGCCTGAAGTGGAGCCTCCCCAGGACAGCCACAGCCGCAAGATGGTTCTGATTAGGACTATTGAGACCCGGGATGGGGAGGTGAGACAAACCCCTTGATCTGGGACCGCACGGTTTCTAGTGTTTCTGAGCCCCGATCAAACCTGGCTGCAGATCTTAGGGTGTTGAGGGTATATGGTTCTTGGGAAGGACACAGATAGAAGGTGTGTGTGCGCACACATGTGCGTGCACGCACAGGCACACCTGTACCATGTGCTCATGTGGAGATCAGAGGGCATTTTCAGAAGTCATTTCTCCCCCTTTACTGTGACTTTCAGGGATCAAACTCAGGTTTTAAGATTTGTGTGACAAATTCCTCTATCTGCTGAGCCAAGGAGGAACATCAGAAGACGAGTGGCTAGCCAGGTGGTTGTGACACACACCCTTAGTCCCAGTCCTCAGGAGGCAGAGGCAGCCCTCTGAGTTGAAGGCCAGCTTTGTCTACAGAGAGTTCCAGGCATCCAGGGCCACACAGAGAATCTCTGTCTCAAAGCAACGATGAAAAAGAGGAAGAGGAGAAGGACGAGATAAACTGTAGCCTTAGCAAGCTATGACAGGCAGGGCACAAGATTGTCCCTAGGAAGTGGTGCTGAATTATCTCCTTGTATGCCTTGCCCCCAGCAGGTGGTGACAGAGTCCCAGAAGGAACAGCACAGTGAACTGGACAAGTCTTCTATTCACAGCTACTGAGCCCTCACCTGGAGCTCTGACCCCACCTAAGCCTCTTAAGCTCAAGCCCAGCACTAGTCCTCATCCAGCCCCTCACTGCATGTGGCATGATCCCTTCCCAGCCAAGCTATAGCCTGACATGGTGGCTGGTCTCTCCCTGCCCTGACACATAGGTGTGACCAAATCTTTCCTGTCCTTGTAAGAGGCAGATGAAAAAGCCCAGGACAATAGATCTGTTCAAGAATGATCCCATGGCTAGTGGGGTGGACCAGTGAGTCTCACTCTGAACCGAATAAAATGGCTACTGAGAGAAACTCCTTATGTAGTTGTCTGGAATCCTTTCTTCTCTGACTCTCATTTTCTTGGCACTCTTGACTCCAGTGGGCCCAGTTGTGTTTCCTCAAACCTCTCTGTTCCTTTTCAACTTAAAAGAAAAATCTTTGTATGTAGCCCAAGCTAGCCTTCAACTAACTTTCAATCCTGCTTCAATATTTCAAGTGTTGAGATTATAGGTATGTGTGACTATGTCCATCTTATTGAGGTTTTTAATGACTCTGAGTGTGTATGTGTGTGTATGTGTGTGTGTGTGTCTGTGTGGGTAGTGGGATCCTAGGGGTCAAACTCAGGTCATCAGGCTTGGTGACAGGTGCCTTTATCCCCTGTATTAGACACTTTTCTGTTGGAAGGGACTCTAACCAGCTCAAGCATGGCTAGCATGGCTCTGGCAGGCCTTGCCCTTCTCCTGAATTTCCTTTGCCTTATTAAAAACCATTAGATTACATTCCTAAAGCTAGTCACCAAGGTTTATTTCTTTATTTGGCTACTTCCTCCTCCTGAAGCGGACTATCAAGGTCCACTGATCAAAGTATTGAAATCAGCAATCAAAAGCCCCCTTTGACTCACCTACTTAATATACCCAATTAAACACCTCAGACTAGGTGGTGATGGTGCAT